ACTGCTCCCCACAGCCCCCCTGCCACTGCACTGCTCCCTGCAACCACCACTTCCAGCCATTCTTACCTCATTTTCCACTCAGAGAAAGGGGGAACAGCTCCAGGGACAGAAGCCAGAAGTCGCAGAGGCTTCTGGTTCGGGGCTGAGGGCGGGAAGCGGGTGGGGGGCTGGGTGGAGCCAGGCTAGCCTTGTTGCTCAGCCACAGGCTCCCGCTGGGTTCTGCTGCCACTGGTCGCCTGTTATCTTTGACAGGCAGATATAAATTAATTTTCTAACATTTTTAAAGGCTCTGCAAGTCAGATAGAATGGGGTGGCGGGCTGGATCTGGCCCACGGGCCGTATTTTTCCCACCCCTGTCTTAGGTCATCAAATCTACGCCACTACTATGCCAAGTAATTACATCATATTATCCCATTAATTAAGTTATCTGGCCATTTTACAGCCATCCTGTCATCAACCCACACCTCCACTTGGAAAGCTGTTCCAGACATTTTCTAATTTCTAGCCTAAATATATTCTCATCTTGTTTATGTTTATTTGTCCTTGTGCCAATAACGTCCTGTAACTTAAATAGCACTTCTGCATAGCCATTTACCTGCAACACGAATAAAGAAGAATCACGCAGCCTTCAGCTTTTGTCCTGCTAACCTGAACAAGCCAAAAATCAGAGTTACCTCTTGTATGACAGGTCCTCCACTCCCGATTATCCACACTTTTCTTGACTGCAGATTATCAGACCTGTACATACTATTCCAGATCATATCTCACTACAGTACCTTGTACAGTGACAGTCATAATTTTGCTCTCTCCACTGGAAACACCTTAGCTGATGAAGCTTAGAGCACTTCTGCCTTTATGGCTTGCATTACACATTTATGGTACACTCATTGTGCAATTAACTGGTATTTCTTCTTCCATCTCGTTCAACTGCTGAGCAGAGGTTATTGTTAATTGGTTCCCAAGTATATGACCCTGCCCTCTGCACTCTCAACTATCATTTTTATTACACTAATTAACATAGATGAGGGGTGTAAAGCATAGGGCCATGGACTGGATCTGGCCCAATGAACCAATGCATCCAGTCCACCAATAAGCTAGTAGGCTACCAGAAGTGCACTGCTCCTCAGTTCTGCACTGCCACACCCACCAAAACTGCCACAGCTACATCCCACACGGCAGCAGCACAGAGCTGGGGGTGTGCAGCATACAAATGTGGATCTGTGCAGCTGCATGCCCCCAGCTTCATGCCACTGCCCAACAGCATAGAGCTCTGGCCAGTCAGCAGCGTCAGAGGCATGTGGCAGCATGGGTGCAAGGGTATGTGCCTAGATGGGGCCATGTTCATGCAGTGTAGAGCTGGAGGCATGCATCCATGAGGAGCCAGGGGTGGGCAGCATGATTTCTAGTTATTTCCTGTGACAACTTTCAGTATTCTGAGTTGAAAGCTAATAGAGCAAATTTGTAGCAGTTTTACAAATATCCAGGTGCAGAGGGCGCCTTTAGATTTAACAAAGTCTAAGAAACCTGCAATATTATAGCAGGCCTATATAGAAAGCTTAACCCCTTTGACAAAATCTGCATAAGGACAGTCTTCTCTGAAGTTCTGTCCATATGCTACACAATTACGGGGATTTATGGAAGAGTGTAGTTCTGCCTAAATAACTTTAAAATATTTTAAAAATCTTGCTCATATAGCCTCCCTTCCATAGATAAGGGGGAAGAAAATTAACATACATTTTGAATGGGGAAAAAACTGCACCTGGACTGTTTCATTTTACTTGTTAAATCAGAAATTTAGGACCGAGACTCAGGACATACCTAACACGTGGAACACCATTTAATAAGCTCAGGTTTCACCTAGTTTTCTTGTTATAACTGATTGAGAATTTTTACCAGGGTCCCACCAGACCCTTTTAAGGGCCACTGAACATTAGCACTGCCATGCATGCAAACACCTACACGTGATTCACAAGACAAACCCAGAGATTTCAAATAGGAATTCCTAGTGTCAGAAATTCTGACTATTGTGGTCTTTAACTGCTCTATTATTTTTCTGTAGCCAAAAAAAAAAAAGGGGGGGGGGGGGGAGCTAAAACACAGTATTTTCCTAGGGGTATGTCAAATCTAACAAGGTTGAGAACCACTGTCCTAATGGCTCAAATAGTGATTCTATAAAACTACGCAAATGTAAAGAAAATGGGCATGCAACCCCCCCCCACCACATATGTAAATAATGTTCAGACAGAAATAAGTCTTGTTGCAACAGACATCTACAAAAACCAGAGCTAAATAGAGAAAAATCTCTCTATTCAGTTTCACTTCGTGTATTTGACATCAATTTGTCCAGTCAGTTGTACTGTATCCCTTGCACATGGCCCACAAGCTGGATCTGGCCCGTGGAGCTGCTCTATTCAGTCTGCCAGGCTACAAATGAGCCACTACTGGTGGGGAGTGGCATGGCCTGCTGCAGAATCCAGATCCCCTGGATAAGTGGCAGGAGGGTGAACGAGCACTAACACAGCATCAATCACCTTACAGTCACTTCACCCATAGCTCTTACTGTGACCCTCTTGGTGATTGCACAGCTGCAGTGAAAGCCTTTTTTTCTCCCCCCAATCCTGTCAATGCCCAGGGTGGTTGCCCATCACTCCCACCCTAGTTACACGACTGTTTGTACCATGTCCTGAAAGTTGAATTAGATAGCTATAAAAAGGAAGAAAAATTATTTACTAGAAGAGACATAAAAGATATTCATTACCCCAAAATAAAAGATCTGAATCAAAGCCTGACCAAAATTAAAAGGGCTTGAACACGCCTTTCTGCCCAAGATAGTTATTGGATGTTCCCCCAACTTAAGAAATAACCAATAAATAAACAAAAATAAAACAGGTTACCACTAAAGCCCTGCAAAATCAAATGATGTTGAGCATCCTATACTTTTAAATAAGTAGACTCAACTTCCGTTTGAACATGATCTTGCTCGCATGTAAAAACCCAGTGTTCAAGAGGAAGTTGAGTGCAACACTCTCAAAGACTGATTCAAGTCAGAGATCCATTTCCCTATTGCTGAATAATGAAGCACATGCCTACAGCATTAAGATTTGCATATACTTTGATCAGATAAAGAAAAGCATTCAAAGTAAAAGTTGTTCTAAGTTCAAAGATTTATAAAAGAAATTTGGCTTTACTACATCTTTAAAATGGTCCAAAGTAACTACTCCAACAAGAATCTGAAGCATATCAGTTATGGCTGTTAGGGACAGAAGAAATCCCCATGCAGGAATTCACTGGGCTATACAACATTTAATCAAGGTCTGCAGATATGCTTGCATCATTGAGACTACCTGTTTTACTTAAAATTCTGTAAAGTGGCTATCGCCATATTTTGACAAGTACAGCCAAAGCTTTATTTTAACTCTGCAACCAGCTGATATAGCAAGCCACTAGGTCAAAGTCTAAATAAATCTCTATTCAGCTACAAGTAGCAGTCTCCACAGAAAAGGATATCAAGGAAAAAGTGCCAGTGCCTTTGATGGGACCTCAAATCACTTGTTTTTCCTCTAATATTGAAGGTGAAGAAATAATTACTTAAATGCGGCAAGAAGTTCCAGGTATCCTTCATAAGTAAACATCTGACTCCGCCACCTTGTTTCAACTTCAAACTATCATAATTTAGCAGCTTTATATTGGATGATCACCTCTTTACAACCTGGTCTGGTAACACCACCAATATCAACACTGACCAGTAATTCTCATGTAAGACTGTTTCCAGGTGTTTATACCTGTAAGTAACATTAACTGGCTGGAATGAAAGTTTCCATGTACAGTGTCTCCCATACTTAACATTTTTTCTGGGGAAAAAAAAAAAAAATCAAACAGAAGTAATTTAGCTGTTTGATGAGAGTTGGTGGTTTTGCAAAAAACCCCATCATTTTACTTACGTTAGAACAACCGTGATCTCTGAAATACTCCACAGGACTCTATGTTTTGGGTAAGGAACTTGAAACAAGGCCAAGGGTGGTTCTTGTTTCAAAACTGTCTCTTTGCCATTTCTATGATAATGTATGGCAGTTATATGCCTGTGAAGCAGGACAGAGGGGTGTAAAATCAGTTTGCACATGCACAGTAGAGATTTGCTACAGCTTAACAGCAGTCTCTGGGGAATCCATCCTTACTGGGCATGATTCAGTTTCTCAAAGTTCCTAGTCCCAATCACAGTGCATATGTGCCATCTCCAAAGAGCAACTGAACACGTTCCACCACCTCATGGCTCCTCCAAAGGAATAGAGACCATGAAGGAGACTTTTAATGAGAGCACAAGAGTCAACATAAATTATTAGAGCAGTGGTTCTCAACCTTTTTGAACTCAAGGTACCCCTGCATAACTTCTGTGAACTGAGTGGCACCCAGTTTCAAAAACTAATTTATATTTTACAGTACTTACCTCCTCACACAGGAACTGGGCAGTAAGGGTGGGTGAACTGGTTTTCTTATCTGCTTATTTCCTCACCTCATGGCACCCTTCAAAGCAGCATCTTGCTTGAGTATCAGTGAGTTAGAGGACTGGGAAATATGACTTATGAAGAAAAGCTAAAAGAGAAGTCTGAAGAGAAGACAAACAGTCTCTAAATACCTGAAGGACAATTATAAAGGGACAGAGATAGACCTCTCTCTTGCTGTATAGGGGACAAGACTAGGAGCAATGGCCTCAAGCTGCAGAGGAAATTCAGACTGAATATTAGGAAGAACTTTTTGATTATGAGGGTGATTGAGGATTAGAATAGGCAGTCTAGAGAAGCTGTGGAATCTTCATCCCTAAAAACTTTTAAACGGAGATTAGACAGATACCTGGCTGGGGTGGTTTAGTCAGGGATGATCCTGCTTCGAGCATGGGGCTGGAGTACGTGACCTCATGAAGACAACTAGTCATGAGATCTTTCTAGCACAACTTTCCTATGATCCTAATATGATATCACAATACAACATGTGATTGTTCTCCAGTTTGTTTTTTTATAAAGCCCTAGAAATAATACACAGGCTACATTAAAAAAAGTATAAAGGCTAAACAGTCACAATTGGAAAATACCAAAAGAAAGACTGGCTGGGCATGCAGAAGTAGTGAAAAAACACACTTTCCTAACCTGGATCTCCACCTATAAAGTGAGAATAATACAACATCTCACAGTGCTGTTGTGAAAAAAAAGTTGTGAAGCCCTAGAAAAACCAATGAGGAAATTTAAAATCCTGGTCTGAAAGCATACATTAAACATGGTTTAGGACCACATATTAACTAGTGAGGATGAAAGAAAATATTGAATAGCAGCTCAGATCTAAGCACTTTTTGCTCTATGTAAGGAATAAAGCAGGGATTTGGGAGCAGGGAAAGGGGGCACAGGGGAAAGA